AAGTTGCCTTGATCCGCGTTTATTACAACATAATACAATACGCAGGCGACATTAAGAGCCGCTTCGAAATATTGTCCGAACGAGCCGCAGGCATTAGAAACATTCGTAAGGACGAAGAAAGGGCTTGAGACTTCCGTGAAAAAGCCGGTTGGGTAGTACTTAGGGCGTGTTTCCTCTTCCAAGGGTTTGGACCTTGAGCGTGGACTATAAAATGTGTGACCCAACGTCATCGTTCGAATATGATGGCTGTAGCGCGGACAAAGAGAGGGAGAAAGAAAAAGCGTGCGGGAGTACCATGGTCATGGGCGATGCTATGACCACATGGGACCACCGCGAGTGATACGTATACATTCACGCACTCACGCACTTACGCACGCACGTACACACGGCCGCTCGCACGTGCGTACACTCGTTTGCGAAACGACTTCAACCGCATTTTAACCCGAGCAAGTTGGAAGCGTCACGAAATAGTCACGTTTGCGAGCCGCTGTTCGCAGGTTTGCGTGTTGATTGATTGCGACAGGGCATGATGTAAACATTATCACTTCAGTGTCTTTTCAACATAAAGACGCTCAGAGATACGCGCCCTCCCTCCTGCTGCGACGTCGACGTTCCGCATATCTTCTTCGTTTTCGGATTCTCTCACAAGGAACTACCTGCGCAAGCTATGAGTGGCAACAATAGAAATTTCATACACACAGAAAATGTTATAATCTCGGACTAATTTTCTCCACCAAGTACGAAGCCAGACAAAAATTAAGCATGCCCCGTGTAGACCTTTTTCCAGTGCGATGTAGACCTGTCGTCATAACATTTCGTAAGACGCTCGCTTAGCGCCAACTATCGTGGCCGTCCGCAATCTTGACCGACCGTTTGAGATATTGTCAATGTAATTATAGAAACATGTTGGCTCTGGTTCGCAAACGCGCGCGTCTTAAGTCACATAGAGCCGTTTGACTTTTTCCCGCGGTCGTCAAAAAGGACTCGGACAAATGGAATAAGTTGAAAATATGTCTGATGTCCCTTTCTCGGTTTCATTTTTCGCTTTTATTTGTCGCAGGTCATTTTCAAAAGTTCTTTTCAAGGACTTTATATTCTTTGGCCTATTGTCGGTAATACGGATGTATCGTGTGTTTTTGATCTTTTTTGTATCTTTTTTTCTGACGGGTCCAGTTCGAGAAAGGTACTTCGGCTTTAGGTAGTTTTCCGCTAAATCTTTCAAAACCATGGCGAAATTTTTTAGGACCGATTAGGATCCGGAAAATAATAGAATAGAGCAAGAAAATATCTGTCTATTTATAATATAACGAAATAGCAAGAGAGGTTTACAAGTATTTTTAACGACAGGATGTGCAGAGGAATAACGAGAATATTCTGAGACCACCGACAGAGTATTTTCAAAGGAATATCGGTTTCTTCTTTCCGGGTGATTAGTTCTACACCTGTGAATGAGTTTATACGTAAGAGGCCGGTGCGGCCGATTCTGTCCTCTTGGCCATTTTCTTTAACGTGCGTCTAATTGACGAGCTGTCGATTGTTAACAGTCGGTTAGAAATAACCACAACTACCGAATATATTCAATTTTGTGTCAGCTCGCGCTCAAACTGTGACGTATGTAAATGACGAAGTGACAAGTACACGGAGAAAATATTGCGATGAAAATTACAATAAAACCTTCGCAATATATAGGGTGTCCCAGAATAATCCTTGTAGAGCTCGTGGAAACATAGACTGGATTAGGATAAACATCAAATGCCCCCATGCCGCTTTATGATATTGGCAATAGTTATCAAGTTATTAATTACAGAAATCTGACGAATGGGCGCGCGTCGAGATGGGTGAAGATGGATTGGAGAAGCATTGGTTGCGTTCAGACAACAAAGCGCTCACTGAGCGCTTAGTAACTATTGGCCCTTACTGTTAGATCCTTACATTCAGACCAACCAATAACGTTGACGAATTACTCAACCGTTGTGTAACCGTTGTGTTTTCTGAACGCAGCCATTGCAGCGTTCGGGCCATAGTGCGGCCCAATCTATTCAGCAACTGTTGGCAGCGCGTGGTGGCGAGATAAAGCCAGCGGCACACGGTGCTTGTTTTCGTGCTGAATTGCTTGCTGGATGACAATACTGCATTCTGATTGGTACATTTCCGAAGACGGATGGAAATGCACCAATCAGAACGCAGTATTTTCATCCAGCAAGCAATCCAGCACGAAAACAAGCACCGTGTGCCGCTGGCTTAAGACACGAATAAAGGCCATCACACACAAACGAACTTGAGCAGTAAGACGTAAGCAATAAAGAAACTGACCAATCACAATCAATTATTCTCGTAAGTTTTAAAACGGCGTCTTTAAATTTCGATTGCGATGGTAGATTTGCTTACTGCTTACGTTTTACCGCTCAAGTTCGTTTGTGTGTGATGGCCTTAAGCCGGGTCTACAATAGGTGTAGTAAGCTGTAAGCCTTAAGAAATTGGCTAACTTTATTCGATTATTCTTGTAAAAATCGACTAGGATTGGTTAATTTCTTAAGGCTTAAAGCTTATTACATCTATTGTAGACCCGGCCTTAAGCGGCGCGTTGTCTTTCCTCGCGCCGCACGCAAGTCACACTTGCTGGATCGACTGGACCACGCTCTCGCCCGAGTGGCTGCAACGCTTCTCCAATCATCCATCTCGGCGCGCGCTCACTCGCGTCAGATTTCTGTCATCGACAACTCGATAATACAGGACCACAAAATAAAACAGGTATTTTGTTCCGGAAGGAAGACCACCTTTCTCCTATATATTTTGACATGCTGAAGTAGAATTTGTTTCCCAAAAATTCGTATCGCGTCACATTTATGAGATACATATAGCAAGAGGGTTCAAAATTACATAATTCACATCGCAAATTAAAATAACGTAAATTATAAATTCCTATTTACATAGAACCACAAACTGTGAACTAACCAAACCAAATCCCTTGAACCCTCAACCCATAAACCCCAAACTCATACACCCTTGAAGACAAGATCTCGAAATGATCCGGCTAATGAAGATAAGATCTGGAACTGGAATCCGGTGAAAGCAAGGCAGAGATAAACCACCAACCTCACTAACTTCCTGGTCTTCCCTCCAGAACAAAATACTTTTTTTCTTATTCTGTGGTCCTGCACTGAGAGAAAAGTATATGATATTTGGGAACTATAATGATATAGTAACTAAATTATAGTCCGAAATATCATATTTATAGTAAGTATTACCATAATATCGGTAATAATTACGATATAGGCATAGTATAACCAACTATATAATATTTTTACTAAGAATAATAGTAAGTTAAACTAAAATTATTGTATGGATACAAATATAAAATGGTAGGTAAAGTAACTCTTTTATATAGTCAACTCTTTTATATAGTCAATATTACCAGAATATTTACTAAATGATGACAGATGTAACTATATGAATATTACTATATTTGAATCTCACTATATTTGTGAATGAGAAATTACCATATATTATTTGTGGTAAAAGTAACTAATTATTTAAGACATTGACTACATATTTGTGTTTATTCTATTATATTTTGCAGGCTCCACGAACTATAAAAATATGCAAGACGCCAAAATGAACTATAAAATATAGTGAGATTATAGTTAATTCAACTATATTTTTCTATCAGTGTGTGTAATTATCGTGAATAACGTAAAAAACGGTATGAGATTGTTATGTTTGTCTTAACTCGCTCTGTGTCTCCACGAGTTTTGTAAAAATTCTTCTGGAACACCCGATGTATTTACCTAAAAATATTATGCAAGTTTGACTTTTTATCGGAAAGTTACTGCAATTATTTGAATGTTTTGTTGCATAATATAAAGTGACCCGATTATATATTGTGGCGGAAAAGAAATATTGCAATTTTTATGTAATTACATTTAATACATACAGAGATAGTACGTTTACATACATACTATGTTTATAAAGAAATCTGATACAACATGAATATAGTAAGTTTTAAAGAGTGAATTCATCGAACTAAAGTATTACTATTTATATTTGTGACTTTTAACACTTTTAACACGCCCACAGCTCAGATCAAAGAGTGCAGATGTCAAAAATTACGTGCGATATTCTTACAATTTTAATTCGGTAATACAATAAGCAAATACAATATACAGGGTGTCCCATTTTAAAGGGACTCCCACTCAAATATCTCAGAAACACTGCGTTAAATCGAAAAATGCTTCAGACAAAAGTTGTTTGGCTTGAAGGGGGACATAAGGCAGCGATAGCATTTTATTTATAGATGGCTCCACTTTCGAGATATTCACTGGTCATCAATTTTCTTAAATGGAAATCCAAATTTTTTATTATATCATCTTTTTTCACCAATTAATTTGAACAACTTTTGTCTGAAACATCTTTTCATTTGCTTAATATATTTTGAGATATTTAAGGAAAACTTGATAACTTTTCCAACATTTACCTTACGGTATCTCACTAACTATTCGTCGAAAGAAAAAATAGTATTAAACTTTTTTACTTTATTTACTATCAATAATATATTACTATATAATAGTGTACTAACTTTTGTTAACTTATCGACCTTTGGAAATTTCAAAATTATTAAATTAATCTCGAATATCTCGAAAGTGGAGCCATTTATAAACAAAATGCTATCGCTGCCTTATGGCCCCCTTCAAGCCAAACAACTTTTGTCTCAAGCATTTTTCGATTTAACGCAGTGTTTCTGAGATATTTGAATGGGTCCTTTAAAATGGGACACCCTGTATACCACAACTCTGCACCTTTGCCTCTTCGTCCTTCCGTTCCACTCAGAGAAACGTTAGCAAAGTCATGGATTAAGTGTCAAGAGTGTTAATAATAAGAAGCGTTAATAAGGAGTACATTCGTCACGAGTTATTCGTAAATTATCAAGATTAAGCGTTATAATCTGACCATGAGAGATGAAAGGCACTGATCGAGCATGTTGAAACGCCGTCTGTTCGCAGGGACATGATACCGTTGAATTGTCAGGCCACGGCAAACAGCGCGATCAGCAGCTCGGTGAGCAACGGCGGCAGCATCCAGTCTCTGCAGAGCATGGACTCGGACAGTCCGAATCTCGCGATGTCACCTTTGTCGAACATTGGCATGTCGCCGGTCGCCATGAACCCGTGCAGCCCAATGGGCATGAGTCCGATGGGGCCTCATCACGGCTACGCCACCCCCGTCACCCCGTCGTCTGTTCACACCGCTCACTCGCACAACGGCGGATTAAGCCCTATGAACGACGTCAAGACCCTTTGTTACGGGCGCAGCGTGTACGATACAGGTATGCCGAGTGCAGTACATTCCGAGCTTGTTTGTTCGCGAGATTCTTCTACGTTTCATCATCTAATCATTATCGATAGATTAGATTTCATATCATGATTATAATAATCACGATTCCAGTTTCATCATTTACATCGCGATCAGTGCAGTCGCAATTTTACGACTTAATTCATCTAACTTATTACTCCTCCTATTCAGTTCGTTTTTTCATGCTTATTTCCTTAATTTTGTACTTATTCGAATCGTCGCGATTAAACGAACAGAATTGGATCTTCGTCATACAAAACACCATTTTCGAATTTTCGCTATTCTAACACTTCATCTTCCAAACCCGAGGAAAAGACGTGGAGCAGAGCTCGGTGTACTACAGCAGTCACTCCAGTATGCACCACCAGTACTACCAGCAGACGCATCATTCGATGATGTCCAGTTCCCATCACCATCATCATCATCAGCAGAGCATGCCGACCGGCTACGAGATCATGCTGCCGCCGCCTCAGCACTCTATGTGATCGACAGACTACGAGGTTACCCGGGGTGATCAGGCTCAACATGGGCAAAACGACGACGTGCTGGCGCGCGTACACGCCTTCGCTTGAGTTTACTTCTTCTCTCGTTCGCGTGCGGTAAAGAGGAAGTCGTGTAAAAACGAAAAACGGCAGAGCACCCGGACAAAGTTTAGTCAGATTTGAGTTTAGCTTCAGCGTCGTTCGACGTTGCTTATCATCGACTTTCCGGTGCATTTGAGACGAAAAAACGTATCCAGGAAAGGGTCGGGAACATTCAAGGTGAATCTCGAAAGACCCGCTTTACCTGTACGAGTGTGTGTTAACTTTTCCGCAGCGATTACACCGAGTGAGAGAGAGAGAGAGAGAGAGAGAGAGAGAGAGAGAGAGAGAGAGAGAGAATGATTATAAAAGTTACGTTACAAGGTATGAAGACATGCGCGCATATGTGATCAGATGCGAATACAGATTACAATTGTAAAATTTAGCAATTATTACCACGAACAAGAGAGAGAGAGAGAGAGAGAGAGAGAGAGAGAGAGAGAGAGAGAGAGAAAAGATAGGAAAATCAACAAGCGAGATCACTTCGAATGCTTATGTAATTACTAAATTGTAATTGTAATTGTAAAGTTATATATACTGCTGCGCAGAACGCAGAGATGTAAATCGATGTGTGAATTACTCTTCCTCCGTTACAGTCTCTCGATCTTTTAATATTACGATTCTTTCGAGGATTTTCTCTGTGAGTGAAAATGATTTCGCGCACAATTGCAATTACATTACACGAATTCGTGTTCGCGAGCAAACGCTGCGACCGTGAAAAAGTCGCGCCTTGAGGTGGTGAGAATACATACAAGAGGCTTGGGAGGGACGAATAAACTGGTTTTATTTTGTGCACCCTTCTTCTCAAAGACATTTTACACGCAACAAAAGGGCTCCAACTGCCCTTCGGGACAATCGTGCAGAATTTGCTTTTTTCAAAACATATGCGGATGTGGCTTCTTTGTAATCTACTTTGATTCGTTGCTACTATACTTTTATGAGACGTCGATTATGTATGTAAAAGTGGAGGATGTATGTAAGAGAAAAAAGATAAATATTTATTTCGTCAAGTATGTACGATATATTTTCAGCGTCGTGTATGATGTCTGTGTTGTAGATACTACTTGTAAATCATTGCGAGAGGCGCAAAGTTGCAACAGCGAAGATATTGAGACGTCGTTTAGAATCGCCAAGGAGATGAATTTGTTTTTATGGAGAAATTTACAGCTTGGGAAAGGCAGAAAAAAGCAATTACGCGATGAAGCAACCAAAGCACAGACACGCTACTCCTTTTCTCCTTATTTTACCTGTATATAGTCGAGAGATACATGATATGAGATACACGCGCGCCTATTATGTATGTAATGTATATATAATACCAGAAAGTAACAATGTATTAAAATGGTTTTTAATAAATAGGTATTAAGTAGTATCTTTCCGTGCGCACAGATCACTTTTCTTTTCGATCTATTGTGTAAAATAAGAATTTACATAATTACTCAACAATTTATATAATGTATGCCTGATGCAGAGTAAAGCGTATGTAAATTGGCTTGAACGTTTCTATCATTTAGTTGTATTATTTGAAATTAAGAAAAAGAAAAGGATCTTTGACCATTATTGGGTTAATTGAGAAATAAAGGTTCGTCTAATTTATCGTTGAGTCGTACTACGCGTCTCCTCGAATTTTTTTTATTGGGAAAATATATAGCCATTAAGTACAGGCTTATATATGGATGCAAATACGTCCTCGGTTCTTCAGTAAGTATGATGGCGACTCGTAGCGCAGATTTTCGGAACTAACTGCAGAGGTGACAATTTAGATTCAGGATATGTTGCAATATTTACTGCCAGCACTGAAAATCTATAATATACGTGACACAAACTATGTATTTTCAGTACTGGCAGTGAATTTTGGAACACAGCCTCTGACTCTAACCGACCAGGTAATATCAGAGAGGAACGTGAGAGCGGCCAACGCGGCGTTTTCGGCGACACCGACTTTCCGACACTGGGAAAGGGCGCCATTTGCATTCATTTCGAGAAGGGAACTACGATGCTACATCCACTTTCAGGTTTCAGCGGTAAAACCTGCAAGTGGTGGCAGTCCGTGCTACATCCACTTTCAAGCGGTTTATGTCCGTGCTACAACCATAATAGCGTATTTGACAAGCACGGTCTCGCACATTGTTACACGTTTATAACATGAATTAACATGTTAACATGTGCAAAAAAGAATTGCACTAACGAGGCAAATTCGCTTGTAACTAGCGTTTAAGTCAAGAGCGCTTCTCGGAAACATTCCGTTCGAGGGGTTAGTCCGCGATAAAAAGTTTCCTGCGACCGGAGGCCGCTGTGGTTTAAAGTTAAATTAGCAGCAGCATTGTTATCGGGCAGCCGTAAAGCCCGTGTCACACTACGGGTTGAAGATCAAGGATTGCGGATTGAAGATTGAAATTTGACCAATCGGAATAAAGCGAATCAAAACCGAAGTTCGTTGATTTGTCGAAATCTAATCTTCAGTCCGCAACCCTTGATCTTTAATCCGTAGTGTGACACGGGCTTAAGACGGGCTGCTGGCATCCGTCCGTGACGTCCTGCCGCGCGCCTTTGCGATTATCGGCAAATTCATAGTTTTCTCGATTGCTCGCGCGATTTCGAGTGGCCATAATATGGCGATAATACATAGCAATATGTGGCAATAATATATGGCAACAACATCTGGCAATAATATATAGCAACAATATATGGCAACAATATATGGCAACAATATATGGCAACAATATATGGCAATAATATATGGCCATAATAAATGGCAATAATTCACGAAATATATTTTTCGTTACGAAAGTCAATGCAAATTTGCGGCATGCACAATGTAATAATAAAAGAGCTCTCTGCGAGCATTGAGTCAAACGCTCACCGATGATGATATTGATGATGTCCCGTTGCATCCAACCAGATCCACCAATGTCCGCCCATGTCCGCCCAAGCTGCCGCTCTCCGCATGTCGCGCAGCATCCATCTTGCAGCGCGTCCCACGTTGATTGCTACACTTTCGCCACATTTCCGCGACGCGGTCGATATTATTAGAGCGGCGATATTTGCGTCAATTAACGAACGTTTTACGTCGGCATCGGTGGAAACTTTTTACGCGCTGCGAAACGGACTCTATAAACTCGATCGGCGAGGAGCAAGAACCGTGTGAAAATTTATCGACTCGTCCAGTGGATTTTTACGGCACTTTTCGCGATCGCGTCTGAAAAGTCGCGAAAATGCGGGAGTATCGATATCTACGAGTGAAATATTCGCGAATGCACGAGAAAAGATTCGACAATAAGAAACCGGTCACTCCGAAGGAGCGCAAAGAGAGAGAGAGAGAGCGGGGCAAAGTTTTCACGCATGGTAGTTCCGTCACGATGAAGCTTACGTTCGCGATACTTTGGCGAAATGAGAATTTAAGCTTTCTTTGTTAGCAGCGCGGGTAAAAACGCGTATATTGATAACCGCGGTCGCGATATCCAAAGGCACGCGAGCGAGAATACCTCAAGCTCGGCGTGCGTTGGCGCAATTTCTGCGCGCATTATACGCTACTCGAGACAATAGGGATCGTGACGAATGGACAATATTGCCAAATAATTCTACAGCCTGTTTTGGAAATAAAAGAAAAGTAGTCAACGGTATCGGCATTTATGCGTATGAATATATTTTACGCGGACAATTGAATATTGTCAAATAATTGTCGTTATATAATTCTGCGGCCCGCTTGAAAAATGAAAATAAAGCAGCTGATGACGGTATCGCGTTTGTAGACATGCATATCTCTTATTCAAATGAACGTCAAAAGAGAATCATTCGGTATTTTAAATCTCGTATGTAATGCAGGCTATCGATCAAGTAATCCCCTAATTGTTTCGAGCAATGTATTTCATTCAACGTCACAAACACACACATGCAAAATCTATTTGCAATTCGCATTGACTCGAACGATATTTTATCTCCCATAGTCCCACATCCGTCATGCGGAATTTTGTTTCTCTTTTCATTTTGTATTTACTCACCGAAACGACTTGCAGTCAGAGCCGGCTACGTTCCGCTTCAACTCTGTAACAAAAAATTCACATTCGCTCATCAGATTTGACCAAAGAGTGCGGGGGCGAGTAAAAGAGTAGTTTACCCTCTGCGATCGTAATTCAAGTCGAACTGGAAATTATATCCCAGTTCTAGATCGTCAAGGGTCAAACAGAGGACTATAGTAAACTTGTAAACTTACCTTCAAGCCGACTCTGCTTGGCCCGAACCGGATCCTCCGATGCGGCATCCGCGTCCGCCGGATTGCTGTTGCTTTCCGCAACAACTGAAACAGAAAAATAATTTTCCCGATTAATAACCTGCGGTAGAGAGGGAGTATCTTTGATCGGAACGAATCGGAAATACGGAATTTTTATCTTTATATTTTTGTTCCAACATTGAAAATTTAAATGAGACTTGAAGCTTTCCAGAGAGCTGATGAGGAACAAGTTGCAAAGGCAAAGATCGTAAAGGGTTGAACACAGATATGTAGGAAACTTGTAAACTTTACCTTCCGACCAAGTCTGCTTGGCCCGAACCGGATCCTCCGGTACGGCATCCGCATCTGCCGGATTGTTGTTGCTTTCCGCAACAACTGAAACAGAAAAATAGTTTTCCCAGTTGATAATCTGCGGTAGAGAGAGAATATCTTTGATCGAGACGAATCGAAAATACGGAAATATTTTGATATGGGATTTTTATCTTTATATTTTTGTTCCACCATTGAAAATTTAAATGAGACATGAAGCTTTCAAGAAAGCTGATGAGGAACAAGTTGCAAAGGCAAAGATTGTAAAGGGTTGAACACAGATGTAGGTGTAGGAAACTTGTAAACTTTACCTTCCGGCCGACCCTGCTTGGCCCGACCCGGATCCTCCGGTGCGGCATCCGCGTTCGCCGGACTTGCTTCCCGCAACGTCTGGAACAAAAATTTAGCGTTCCTGGTTGGTAAGCTGCGATAGAGAAAGAATGTTTGGTCGGGATGAGTGGAGAATATTCGCTACGGTTTTTTTGCTTCATTGACATTGAAAGTCTAGATCTAGAACTTGGAGCTCTTGAAAGAGCTGACGAAAAAAAATAACAACAAGAAACGGAGACAACGGTTGTGTGCTCTCGAAAATATTCCTTTACGAATGGATATTTAAATTTGGAAATCCCGTAACGAAAGTAAACAAACTTGAAAGCGCTGACCGAAAACAAAAAAGGTCGCAGTCTAAGAAGCGATATGACGTTGAATATTCTACACAAGACCGGTATACTCATACAGTTGGGAATTATACAGAATGTTTGATTGAGAACATAATGAATTAGAGATTCGCGTTCATGGAACGTTATCCGTCTCTGTCTGGATCAATATCGCTCGTATACAACAACGCAATAAATAGATAGACAGAGATTGACTAGAGTAATTGCAGATTCATAAAGTCATGATTACTAATCGGATGATGACGGATCGTGAATGTCGAGCGTGAAATTCCGACTTTTTATTTCCGGAAAATTCGTTAAACGTCCGCTCTCTCGTTATCAGAGACCTCTCGCATAATAAATGATTCCACATACCTGGAAACGTGATGTATCGCTGCCGGCGTTCTGCTTCCCGGCTGCTGGACTCTTCACTCGCTAACTATCTTCTAGTGCCGAAACTCGCGATTCGACCGTGTGGTTAATCAACGCGACGCCGATTATCTCGAGGACTGACGAGATACATTTCTTTCAATAACACGAGACGGAAGTGACGAGCGCGTCGCGCACGGCTGCTGCTGATGGAATAAGGTCGAATACGCGAGGCGCACGAGTATTAATACGAAGGGCAAAAAGTGTCGTCGCTCGCGAGCCGATCAACACAATCGGCCCGCGATGTAAACATTGCGGGCCTCGGCGGCGGTTGAAGCAAGAGAGACTTGCCCTTGGGCGTCTCTTCTTTTCTCGAAGGTTCCGGAACGACGAGGGGAATGCGAGGAGGCCTTTCAACTGTACGCGACATTGACTTTGCTTTATTTACTGATTACTGAAAATAAAGAAAATTACTCTGTCGAAGCATCGGACATTTGTTAGCTTTATGTTAATTAAAGAGGAATGTGTACGACTGGAAAATGTGTTAACAACTAATTGTATAGAGTGTCAAAGTTGTTGCGACGCCGTTTTCGGAAAATAATTAAAAGTCATGGTAGCGTTAAAGAGTGGAATTTCATCCCATGCGAATTTGGTCTCGTTCTTATTACATGTTCGATTATCCGCTGCGGACAATAACTCTTCTACTTTTCATCTAATATTCAATGATGATAAATACCATTTAATTGCATTCGTTTGCCTGTTTTTATTTCGAAAATAAAAAAAGTTATACCAAGGTGAGATTTCACCCATGGCAACATCAACGTGATTTTCTTTGATGCTTTCTTTAAAAGTTCAGATATTTCGTCGACTCGCGGGATATTTATAATCGGAGTCTCGTCGCGTTAATTAACACGTGCTCCTCCGAGCGGATCGAATGCTCACCGACGGCCGCTGTCAGTGACACGAGCGAATATCCGGAGCGGACGGGATGCTGAATCGAGAAGCAGGACGAAGGTAACGCGGGACGCGGACAACGATATATAATGCGTCTCCAAACGTGTCAAATCGTTTATTATACAGGAGACTTTGATACGGCAACATGTATTCGAAGATTTAATATTTAATACGTACTTTCATTTTTCCTGCTTCTCCCCCTCCCCCCCTACTGCTCTTTTAGACCTCCGGGCATAATCTGGCATAGAGACGGCAACTGTGGTTGCAGCACGGACATAAACCTTCTGAAAGGGGATGTAGCACGGACTTCCACCACATGCAGATTTTACCACTGAGACCTGAAAGTGGATGTATCAGTGAGTTCCCCTCTCAAAATGGATGCAGATGGCGTCCTTTCTCAGTGCGGAAAGTCGGTGTCGCGGGAAATGCCATGTTGCAGGTTTCTCTCTGAGATATACACATATATAAGCTGTAATACTCAACGTCTCGCTACACGGAATTATACAAATAACCTGTCAATTAGTGACACAATGTTTATACATATGTAGAGCGGGTTGAACTAAACAGGTAATTCCTCTACCGTACTGCAAATTATGCAATTGCTTGAATTTAAATACATTTGTCGTGTGTGCGGATAAAATACATCGAACTAATCTCATGCTAATTTACACATGGTGCTTTTATCATTGCGGGACAATTTAAAAAGACATATACGTTTCGAGCGTACGTCTATATATTTGCTATTTCCAGAATATCACAGACCAGTGACCAGACCAGGTCCAGAAACAGACCAGAGACATGTCTTTTGAGAATAATTGAGAATAAAGAAAGCACACGGTAATTGCTTCTTTTTAACGTTGCTCATTCGCATTATAAGATTACATCTTTAATATGCGGTTGAGAAGAAAAGGACCATAATTTTTAATTTATTTCTGTTTCTTCTTTTTTTTTTATATATATGGAGATTATTTTCGTAAAATAACGGATAAATGAACAAAATACACACGATAGGAAGATCGTATTGTTTATTCTTACCAGCGATACGGTGATTTACATTATTTGAATATATGCGCATAAACGGAGGAATTAAAAAGGAATTAAAATAACGAAAGCTTCGCGCGCGTGTTTTGCATCGAATTTCCGATTACAACATCACATATCAACAATTTTATTTAATCTCGGTTTATTTAACATACAAGAGCTATTTTTCAACATTGCGCGTCCAGTATGTATAGCTGTATAATGTACGTATATGTTAAGTAAATCTAAGTTACACTGATATGATCACGTTACAGGGAATTTGTACAAAGAGCGCACAAGTCAATACTACTCGATTTGTTCGTGGCTGCTGCATTCAAAAACCGGTCGTAACGCTCGATTCATAAAACTGTAAGTCTCTCTTCCTCTATTCTCTAATATCTCAATAATGTGTCCTCCCATATAAATCGCGAGAAAGTGTACGCGCGTAGCATATTTCTCCTTTGAATTTCATGATGGTGATTTAGCAAAAATCAAGAACCTCGTTTTCGTACATCAGAGTACTGCGTTCAACGGTACAGAAACAAAATTTAACGGTCAGAAATTTTGTATTTTCAACGTTGTAAGAGATTCGAGTAGTAATGCGTTGCTTGGAATTTTCGCTTGGGAAAAGTTAACTTCAGATTTACAAACAAATATACACGCGTATACATCGATCACCGAATAAATAGTTATACCGCCATTTTACGGACCACTCCATACGACTTTTTCGGGACACCTTATAGATTAGGCTCTGTCATCTCGAGGCGGGTAATCAGGCATCTAGCGCGGGATATAAAATGTGTTCCCATCGTACACTCCGTGTGATGTCTTAAGTTACAAATTTTCTATAAATACAGCATATTTCCTCAGTGTATATTTCTTTTTCTCCTGTTCTCTTTCTCTTTATTTTCAACGACACAGATTACACGCGATAATGTAATTTCACCTCAAGTTTGAACGGCAAATTTTAAACGTCGGTCGAATCGATTGACGTCAAAACGTGACATTTGCGTCGCCTCTTAGTTCTTCGCCGCGAAACGAGCGCGGATTCGCCTCGCTTTTTGCAGACGAGGTCGGCAAAAAAGAAAAGCGAGCCGCGTTTAATCCGCTTCTTCGTCGCCGCGATTGATTAAACGGCGTCATTAGATGCTTCCTCCCCGGCCAGGTCGGTGCCGGTTCGAAGTCGGGAGAATAAATCGAACATGCTGGACCGGTAAATCGCAAATCCTGGAGAGGATGGGGCGGGATACATGGGGATACGGGGGCGGGAAGTGGATGCGGGCGTCGGTACGTTACAAAATTTTCTCGAGACAGAGAGAGATCGCAAACATTCGCTCGCGAAGCGCAGACGAAACGTCCGAATCCCGTTTATCACAAATTTTTATTGTATGCTGCACCGTTTACTGTGTGGTAAGTTCGTGTGCTCGTCACCGAGGACCGGCTGTGTATATGTGTGCTAAATTATTATTACTATCGTTATCGTTTGTCGTTATTGTTACCTGTCGACGTTATTGTTACGAACATCCTGCGTTACGATAACAACGAAAAGAATAATCCTTACAGATAGTACATGTGTGCGTGTATGTGTGTGTGTGTGTGTGTATATATATATATATGTATGTATGTATATGTATATATATAGATACACACACACACACGCGCGCGCACATCCTCCTGGGTTTGCCTCGTCTCGATACACTACATAGATATTGTCTCCGAAGTACATACACACGTGCGAGATACAGCCTGCGGTTTATTTATTAGACGATAACGTAAGATATGCACATACGCGTGCGATTACACGCGTAGTTTAACGTATAAATAAGTCTAATGTAGGCTACCACGGTTACACGAGAGATATGTAAAGACAAGAGTGTCACATTGAAAAAATATATGTGTTTTAATTACGGGGTCATTGGGGTGGGACTGTCGAGGAGGGGAGGGGGGAGAGGGGAGGAAGAAGACGAGCTACGTGCGTATGTGTTTAAGCACATGGATATGTATGGTTCGTTTCGTGGTGGTGGCGCGTTGTCGTTCCGTGCTCGAGGACGATCGCTCGACAAGTCTCGACGATCTCGGTGCCCCCGTCTTCCATCTTGTCAACTCAATCTTCATCTCTATCCTTCTCCTTCTTCCTTCTTTCGTACCTTCTCCCGTCCGAGCCCGAGTCCTCTCGATTTCGCGCGTCGTTTCCGCTCGCGTTTCTCACGCGTCCCCGCACCACGTTCATCTCGCGTTGCACGTGCTGCCGCGTTATCTTATCTTAACTAGCGTATCGTTGCTGAGCGCGCGCACACGCTCGTCACCGCGGTATGAAATATGTGCGAACAAGGTGCGTCTATTCAAGCGTGCGATGTTAGCTTAATACGTCCGAAAATAATTCGGGTCACCACCCGAGAATTTCACCAAGCCACCGGAGAGAGCGAAACTTCCGGGCGCATATGTACAAGCAACCAAGAACTTGTGGAACGTAATCTCGTGTGTATGTGTGTGTGTGTGTGTGTGTGTGTACACGCGCGCGCGCGCGCGTACATGCGTGCGTGTGTGTACATATATACATGTACATACACGCCATAAAACGCTCGCTATCGTGATCCGCGCGCGCCGTTATTTCCGTTTGCATCGCCGAACGCAAATCGCACAAATCTTCAAAGTCGATAGTACCGCGCGACGGAGTTTCAAAGAGGGGTTTTTCTCGCGCGTCGTGTCGCTCGCCTTAATCTAAACTTTTACGGTATATGTACACATGTGTCCGTCTCGTGTGTGCATATGTGTGTACGTGGGTGTACATACGTCTCTTTCTTCCGTCGCGATGCGAGTCGTGGCTGCGATCGACGCCCACGCTACCGGTAGACGACGAATCTTCGGCGTCCTCGTTTCGCGATTACAACGCAATTAAAGAACTCCTCGGATATATAAATATTACACATTGCGTTCCACGAAATTGCGAGAGTACGAGCGAGAGAGAGGGTCCTGCATTAATAATCAAAAGTAGAACATAGGAACAGTCTAATAACACAGCTGTTAACGGCTAAGCCTAAGTGATTAAGTCTATAAAACTTGCTCTCACGAGTCACGCGCGGCAGGTCGGTCTGGATAAATAATTCACAGTTAAACAATCGGGGAATTCGCAAACTGCGCCTCATTATCGTGAGAAAAAGCAAAACAAAAAAAAAAGATACAAGCATACCCAAGGGTTACTACTAGGAAATGCGCGAAACAACGTGCCGCGCGGTGAACAAATCTAACATATTGAATAATAATATCCTTGGAATACGAGGAAATATAAATAATGAATAAAAAAAGGATTTCTTCTTAAGCTCGTTGAAGGAAAAGACACTCGATCGTCGATTGCGCGTCGAATCGCCGCGAGAATCTAAACATCCGTAGAAAGAGGAAAAGGCAAAGTAGAGCGCGACCAGGAAAGAGACGGAAAAAAAATGTTTTCTTTTTCATCCTCATACAAACGCTCGTTGATACAACACGCGAGATAGTAATGATGGTCCAGAGATCAAGGGAACTAATACTAAGGTTTAGACTTATCCCCGTTATGAATTTCCCATTTAATTTAGAGGCCTACTATACGGGTTAACATTAATAACATTTACCTATGTTATATTAACTGTAAGATTACGCTACGTTCAATTATATTATATAATTTACAGATTACACGATATTAAGTTAAGTTATACGAGAGGGACGAGGGAGAGGAGGAGCTCTCGGCAAAATGTGTTATGAGTTTGTCGCGAATTAGCGGTTTTCTCTCGCTTCTCCCACTTCCACTTGCACTTTCTCTCTCTCTATCTCTCTCTCTCTCCCTCTCCCTCCCCCCCCTCTCTCTCTCTCTCTCTCTCGCTCTCTTTCTCTTACATCGAAGTTTGCAACACTCTCACTCTCCGTCGCTTACGGATTAATACTGAACCTACGCGAAGTATTTTCAGCCGTACCCAAAGAGAGAGAGACAAATGGACAGAGGCTCTCGTATTCGCGCGCGTCCGCGCTTTATCCTTGAATTAGCGCGACGTTAACGGCGTTTTTACGCGCGCGTGTCGCGCCGATGATAGCGTCCTGTCGCCGCGAGGCTATAAATCGTCGAGCTATAAATCATGCGCGCTCTCTGTTATTAACTCTTAAACATTCCCTCGCCTGTTCATAAATAAGCGTGCGAATAATTCAGCGCGTACGCGCGATTACCGCGCGGATTCGATCTGTGACTTTGTAATTGTTATTTTTATCGCTCGTTCGAGGAATTCGCTGCGAATTGAAGATCAGCTCGCGCGGCACACAGCGCGGGAAGATCCGTCCCGTTTAAGAGTTAACGCCGATGCGCGTCGGAGTGGAGGTTTTAGATCGCCGTCGCGTGGAGGTTTTAGATCGCCGGCTATCCGGCGATCGCGTATAAAATAGTCCGGCGGACCGCTCCCGTCCGGTGGTCGTTCTCGTCGATGTCGACCGGTCTCGGCCGGTCCCTCTCTCTTTGGGCTTCACACACACACAGTCTTTTACAGAGGTACGATCTTCTCGTTCCGATGCACTGGCGTGTCGTACACGGGCACACACTTGTAATACTGCGGCGGGTACGACGCGTACGACGCTTCTGAGGGCGACAGACGGCCGCGGAATCGGCTGCGTACGATGTGAACGATCAGCAACAGGCACAGCATCGCGAGTACGACGATCAGCGTAATCGGCACTGTGCCCCAGCCTCGGCCTGTCTGACTGATCTCGTTCTCCTTCGTGCTCTGCAACAAAACGTTCAAATCGCTTGCGATAGACTACTATCCGTTAAGTTCGAGCGGTTGTTGCGCTGAATTTTACTCAGCGGTCTCGGTTCTGCCAAGAATACTCGGAACCGAGCCGAGAACCGCCTTGAGACGCGAGATACGTTTCAACGGATGCATCTCAAATAGATTTGAACTAGCTCGCTTGAGATACTTGGATGAAAATCTGTCTTCAAGCTTGAGCTTCTATTTCTCATTGTTGAACGACCAATTTTTCTCGAGGGCAGCACACTCGTGCGTGCACATATCGGGTTTCGCTACTTTATTCTCATATTTTGATTTGCAACTTTCTCTCTGCAGCAGCTTGCTGCAAAGAAAGAGAGATCTTGATTTCTATTCTTTCCTAGAGGCCTTCCGCGGAGCAAAGAGATCACTTACTTATTCTTTTCATGTAATATCCTTGAACTCGATGAGATTAATGCTCGACTCGGTGTCCGAGTCTTAGTCGACTCCTAATTACGACAATGTACAGAGACTAGTGCGAGATTTGTACCACGGAGGGGGGAAGATGCAATTGAATGTTAGTTAATATACAGGGTGTCTTAAGAACACCGGAATACTTACTGACTTTTGCAAATTTCAAAATCATCAAATTAACAAAAACCAGGGCACTATTGTGACAACATATTCTTGAGACTAAATAAAGCAAGAAAGTCTAGTACCACTTTTGTCTTCCGACAAATAGTTAGCGAGATATCGTAAGATTAATACTGATAAAGTTACCAAGTTTTCCTCAAATATCCAACAAAATAAAAAAATAAATAAAAATATGTTTTAGACAAGAGTTGTTCAAATTAATTGGTAGAAAAAAAAAAAAAAAACAGTGTAATAAAAAATAAGGGTTCCCATTTAAAAAACGCAAGTTGATCTCCAAACGACTTTGAAGGTCATGGCCAGAGGGTCAAATTCAAGGTCACCATCAAGTCCGTTACTCGATTTTCTACAACTTTTGTATTTAAAGTTTTTCATGAAAATTTGATCCCGCCAAGTTATCCGGGGTTATTCCGGTATTTTTAAGACACCCTGTATACTATATATTATAATATCGCGGATACGTTCGAAAGAGTATATCAAAGATCGATCGCCTGGGACTCACAGTGATCGGGCATACCGGGCAACAAGTGCCCGGTTTCGGCGGCAATGGATTACTGCAGGCGACCGAGCAGATGGTCTCCTTGCAATTGAGCCTGCCGCCGGTCTCGCAAGTGCACGTGGTGCAGCTGTTCGGATGCCAGGTTGATCCCTCCGCGTGGGTCTCGTTCAAATGGTCCATGCACGAGGCGCGACAGCGGCAAATCTGCGGAGGAGGGCGACACAGGATTCTTAGATGTATCTCGTCGCGAGACGGGAGACCCATTGACGGAGTTGAAGCGTAATGTCGGAGTTGAAGCGTAAATTCGTTCGGTTCGGAGAGACGGAAGCCTGTGCGAAACTTCGTCCGGTAATTATCTATCGTTTTTTTTCCCGACTTTATAGAATTCTGCCGGAAAAGGCTGACCCCAGGACGAATTGGACTGCGCAAGGACACTCACCGGACAGCCGCGCTTGTTCGTCTTGTAGCCGAAGCTACAGCGCTTCCTGCATCCGACGAGCGGCGGGCAAGCGGCGGTGGGCGGCTTGCACTCGCAGAAGGTGCAGTCGTTCTCGTCCATGACGAGGCCTCGTTCGCAGTGGAGATCGCACTTCACCTCGGGGCATACCCGCTTGTCGTTATTCGTCGTCAGAGCGGTGTCGTTCGTGGGGTAACGCGGCGCCCCGCCGGTTTGACACGCGCACACCGAGCAGCCGTCCTCGTCCTTGACGAGGTCGCAGTTGAGCCCACAGTGCGGCAACTCCGGACAGACTTTATAATCCTCGGGCACCGCATCCGACGCGGACTCGACCTCCTGCAGACGAGAGGGTGAGTGAGAGTGAGAGAGAGAGAGAGAGAGAGAGTGAGAGAGAGAGAGAGAGAGAGAGAGAGAGTGAGAGAGAGAGAGAGAGAGAGAGAGAGAGAGAGAGAGAGAGAGAGAGTTCGCCACCGTTTGCGAGATAGAAGCCCGTGCACGCCGGCGGCCGGCGAGAGACCGCCGGAATTTCTCTTATCCGGCAACTTGCTCGGGGCCGGCGGCAGTGGGGGAAAGCGGGCAGGACGATAGTTCCGCGAAGAAATCTTCTCCGGGCTACAGGTATGTTTCAGATAAGAGAAACTGCGCGCCGCGGTGGTTCCTCTCTCCGGTCTGCCAGGTCACGCCTTGTGTGTACGCGACGCGCTGCGCGAACAACACGTTCGTACTCCTCCGAGTAGGGTTGTGATAGCGCTTGTGAGGGCGTTCCGCGATGCACGGAGAGACGTCACCAGGCTGGGAGAGAGAGAGAGAGAGAGAGAGCGCATTGTCGTCGCGGGTAATCGTCAGTCAGGACGACGGAACCGGGGGAACGGATCTTGTTTATCGTATCGCACTGTCGGTCTTCTCCACCGCTGTCGCCTTCTAACATCTCGGCCACGACGTCGGCCCCGTTAACGCGAGATACGTCTCGGAAAGTTCAAGTGAGTCAAGCCGATTTACTTGCGCAAACGCGTATTTACGCCGGAGCGTGAGCCCTTCGCAACGATTTCTCTCGCTTCCGATTATGGCGCCGCGTCTTTTCGACGAACCGGGTCAACCGGCAGCTATTGGTATCCTGAATGTCTGCGAAATTGCAACGAACTTCTGCAACGCGGAAGCTGCGCGGTAGAGAAGTCCGCGACCCTCTCTCGGTCTCGAAGACGTTTAACCCTCGTGTTACCATCGTGATACCTCGATCGTGCCGGAAGATTAATTCGCTCCGTTGAACAAGAATAAGTAAATATTTTGGGTTGTTTCGAGACGCTCTAAGAGAGAAGGAATGCGAGTGTCATGGAGACGTGTGAAACTTTTACAACAAGTGTTTGGAAGTGCTGAAACAAGAAGCTGAAGAGCGTTCACGTGTCAGTAATTAACGATCAAACGGCTGTACAGCTGAGCTACTGAAAACTGAAAGCTGATACGCTGATACGTATGTTTGGTAGCCGAAACCCGCTGTAAAATAAGATCCGACTGTCCACGAAGCTTTAGCTAATCATCAGCAGATTCTTACCAGATCATCGACGCACTCGCAGATCTGACAGTTATTCTTGTCCGTGCGGAAGCCGTGGAAACATTTCATCTCGCAGTCGAGCAAGGACGTCTTGCAGGACTCGTCGAAACGGTTGTAGACGGTCATGTTGGTCGGTGACGGGCAGTGGGGACAGCACTCGCCAGGATCGGGCGGTATCGCGTTCTCGCAGGACTTGCACATGGTCGTCTGGCAGGACGCGGTGCCGTCCTCGTTGCAGATGCAGGTGATGCAGTCGCTCTGTTTCCACTCCTCGCCGAGTTTCCTCGAGACACCCTCGTGCAGGCAGTTCTGCGGCTTCTCCTCGGGTTTCGCCCAGGAGATCGGATCTGTGTGAGAGGATCAACGACGGAGAATGAAACGGAAGAACGAGGAAAATCGTCTTTTGCGATCATGTGACGCTCTCAAACGGAATTTAATTCCCTATTAAAGCCCTCTCAGCGCTCTCCGATAAGTTTCAAAAGAAGAATATCTATTTGTGTGTATACATATGTGTAAAAATTATTTATAAACCATCTCTTTAACCACACACACACACACACACACATGCATCCCGCGTATATAATATATTATATTTGAAACTTAATTTCCTGGCCGCTTCAAAAAGTTTGGATTATTTATTTATGTATAGCTATATATATGTGTATATATATATATCACGCGCGTGCACACAGACATACACACACACACACACACACACAAAATATATATATATACGGGAAATATTGCCCAGGACGGTTTATAAATAACTCACGGCGTAACCGGCGAAGCGTCGCTAACCCAAATATGGTAGTTTTGTAAGCGGACGAGGAAAACTTGGGCGAGTGCTTCAGTGTTCCCAGAGTTTGCGAACTCTTGCGACTAAAATTGTTGCGACGGATTTTTCGACGTCGCGCGCGCGCGCGCGCGCGCGTCCTCGCCTGCTCGCTCGTCCTGAGAAAAATCGCAACCTCGCACAAACTCCAATCACATTTTTAACAAGTCGCGCGTTCCTTCAATGCGACGGACGAATTTCAAACTCAAGCCGGAGCTCGGGCTCGACGACGAGGACGGCGACGTCGTCGGTGACGACGGTGAATCGCGTTATTAGCGAGGCAATCGCTAATTATGCACATGAGATTACAAGAGAGAGAGAGATTTAATCGAGCGCGCGATTACGCGCTCTTCGGCGATCAAGTCATTATTCGGCGATTTTCCACAGACGACAAGCGCCCGGTAATCATCAAAGCGGCGGAAATTGCAGAATCTCATGAAGATTTGCAATCTCTCTCTCGCTTAATATTCATAGTCCCCTTAACGCGCACACGTACACATGCACGCTCGCGGCCGCGCTGCCTCTCTTACGCCTCGGTCGTTAATAACTCGCGAAAATCTGATTAACCGCGATATTATTTCGTTACACGGCCGACCGGGATCGTATCGCTGCCATTAAAGCTGTCGAGCGTTTTTAACATAAAGCCCAACGATTAAGCTCCTCGCGATGACTAGGCTATTCACGCGGGTGTCGTGCATCGCTTAGGGCGCTTTTATTTGTCCGCTTTGCCTCCCTTTCTGTCCTCTTCCCTTTCTATCTCCCGTGCTCATGCACACACACACACATACACACACACACTCTCTCTCTCTCTCTCTCTCTCTCTCTCTCTCTTTTTCTCTCTCCCTCTCCCTCTCTTTCTTTCTCTTTGCACAACCGAGTACCTCCGCACGTGAAATTTACATGCCGAAGTACACTCCAGCTGGATAGTAAACCCTTGAGCGCTGATCTTTTCTGCATGAGACAGCGCTATACAGACGCTGTTTTTCTCCCAAGTCGCCATGTAGACGCTGATAGGAAGTGATCTCGTCATCGCGCCGGGAAATCTAAACAATTCCGCGAAATCAAGATTCTCTCCTCGTGGACGCTAGCACGAAAATACGAACACGCTCATCGCATACTCGTAGTAGACGTGCAATGTCGAAGATCGTGATGTCGAACTCGTGCTCGCGACAGACGCGCTGTGATAGCAGTCAGTTCTGCACTACCGATCGCTCTATTTTCGACAGGAAGATTTATTTCACATGTAAATTGGACACGCCGTTCTCTTCGAAAATTTTCCCAATTTCCTGCGCGCCGACCGCTGCCGTAAACTGCGGGAGAACCCTGTCCGACTTTCACTGACACGCGCGTCACACAGCGTCTCGAGGCCTTCAATTATTACGTGACACTTTGAGGGTCGATTTCAGCGTGTGTGCCTCCTTCCTGCATCATGAAAGAAACATGTGGGTCGAGCGGTCGGTGATGTGGGTGCACGATCTATCCTCGGATGTCCCATTTACGAGCGTTCATTCATAATCTCCCGAACTTTAAAGTGGCACATTCCCGTGAAAAATCGGCGCGGTAACGCACAAACGCAAAAACAATTTTCGCGAGCTTCCGCCAGCGGTGACTATTATTTTCTCGTCGTGGCATACGCGCGAACGTACAACGCGTGTTGAAAGGCGAAGAGAGAGAGAGAGAGAGAGAGAGAGAGAGAGAAAGAGAGAGAGAGGGAGAGGGAGAGAGAGAGAGAGAGAGAGGGAGAGAGAGAGAGAGAGAGAGAGAGAGAGAGAGAGAGAGAGAGAGAGAGAGAAAGAGAGAAAGAGAGAGAGAGAGAGAGAGAGAGAGAGAGGGAGAGAGGAGAGGAAGCGAGAAGGGGAGAGAATTTGCGGGAATTATTTTTATTAAATATGCTGGCCGCTGATGGTTGTTGGCGGCGGTCCCTTCACGTAATACGCTTCCCCGTCGTTTCACATATAGCCCGCCCGCCGGAAGAAGCTAAATTTGCGAGCTTTTGTAAGAAATATGAAAGGCCGCGTGTTCCTTTATGTTACTCGAGGGCCCTTTTTTCCTCTTTTATTCTGTTTCATTATTCGGGATGTTTCATTACTCTTTGTAATCCGCACTGCGACCAGTAAGGGGACGCTGCTATCGACGGCTAAATTGAGGGCAATAACAAGAGAGAGGGAGAGGGAGAGAAAAGGAGAGATAGAGAGAGAGAGAGAGAGAGAGAGAGAGAGAGTGCTTTGTAGAAAATATTAAAGATATAATATCAGCGAAAGAGAGAAAGAGAGGAAGAGAGAGAAAGAAAAGTAGAAAAAAATTAAGAGCCGACGGGAGCAGGACGATGACGGAAAGGCGCGTAAAGGATATATACGGGATGGAGAAAAGAAAACACAAATCTTTTTCCCTCCTCTTAAGGTCATAAAAAGCCACGCGAAAAATCACGTTCGAATCAATACTCCGCGGCAAGGGGGAGGTAGGGAGGGCGAAGGCCGGAGGAAAAATAATTAACCGGAGATGGGAGTGGAACGTTCGCAGCGCGAGTCGATCGCAAATATCGTTAACAGCTTTCATTGAGTCGGCAAATCGGTCGCGAAATATTTGTTTCTGCGATTAACACGCCGATTGGACACGCTTTCGCAACAAACACCAAAGAGAAAGAGAGAAGGAGGGAGGAAGATAACGAGGGGGAGAAAGAGGACATTTCTCCGGACAGTTTAATCCGGCCCGTATCGCTATTTACCATAGCGCGGCATCGGGGTTTACGTCAATATTTATTATTGTGTACTTTCCGACGAAAGCGTATTAATTAGATGAGGCATCGACCGTGTATGCGTGACCGATAATGCGAACTACAGCGCTAATGAATATTGTTAACAAGGTAAAACGCTATTTAACTGTCGTGCAGCCGTTTAAACACCGCTCCGTACGCGCGCGCACACACATATACACACACGCGCGCACACACACACACACACACACACACACACAGAGACCAAAAGCGAATTTACAGTATGATATAAAAGAGTATTTAATTGTCGGCAATCTCTATCTAATCGAGGGCAGTTTGGGCTCTGCGATATTCCGGGATAATACGTCTAAATACGTAATCGATCGAAACCGGCCGCGACAAAAAGTATGCTCGTGCATTTCGATCCGTGCGACACTTTTTTCTCGCCGACGCAATTAAATATCGTAATTACCGTCGACGAGATATACGCGCAGGGCTTCTCACTGCACGAAGCTCGAGCGCTCGCTCGCCTACGAGCGTGAAAAATGGTGAGTAACGTCGAGAGCGTAATCGAGCGATAATAAATCGATATCGTTAAGAGTCGGGAAGAGAGAGAGAGAGAGAGTAACCTCTTCCTCGTGGTAATAATGTTTCTAGTGTCATGATTTGTAGCTGTCTATGGCGCTCACGGTGGAAATGTTATTAAATTTTAAAACAGACACGGAACGCTATTAAGTCTGAAGCACACGCGCGCGCTCGTCCGTCCACTCGCTCGCTCGCGATTTCGCGAGATAAGAATGACTTCATTAAAATTCAACAGGTAGATCGAAAGTTCCGCAGCGAGGGCGGCGATGTAACTTTAAACGTCGTAACTTAAAAACCACCGCTCGCGATGATATATCGCATCTGGGCATTATCTCTGCTTACAATCTGCGCGACTAGCATTTATAATGCCGTTAACTCGCGCCGAGACTTTTCCTCGGGACGGACTTTACGAGCCCGGCCGCGCGATCGCGCCGATCCGATTGAAACGGCTCTCTCGGAGTCCTCGGCGTATTCTTTTTTTTTTTCCTAAATCACCGGTTAATTCAACTTGGTCAATCGATCTTCGCTCGACATAGCGTCAGCGCTGCACCGCGGAGCAACTAGAAATCGCTCTCACGCGTCGTCACGGGGAATTTTAAGTCGCACTCTCCGTGCTCGGGCTTGTCGGAGATTTCCAAGGAAAACTCCACTCGCTCCTTCGACGTCTCATTATCCACGTCACACATTGAACGGGCGGTCTCGCCCGGTAATGGGACGCTGTTCGTGTGCGCGCGTCCGCGGGAGACGCGTTGATTACGATCGGCCAGGAAGTCCTTCGTGTGTCGATATCTGAAATACATCGAGGCTACAAGCTCGACGAACAAGCTTGCCTCGTCAGATTGCAACTCGAGCATTTGGCGGAGAGAAGGAGAGGTCGCATCAGAACAGGCGGAAAAGAGACAAAGAGAGAAAGAGAGAAAGAGAGAGAGAGAGAGAGGCGAAGATAAAGGAAGTAGACACATGTAGAGAAAGAGTGAGAGCGAGAGAGCGAGAGAGCGAGAGAGCGAGAGAGCGAGAGAGAGAGAGAGAGAGAGAGAGAGAGAGAGAGAGAGAGAGAGAGAGAGAGAGAGAGAGAGAGAGAGAGAGAGCAGATCCGACATATCGATCCGACATACGACGTTCCTATCGGCTAACAGAAGCCAGTTTTGATTACGACCTTTCGTAATTACCTAGAGCTTTGCAGTCGTGAAGGGGGCAGCAACTACCGGGTGTCTCGGGCTTGGCCGCCCGCACCTCGACCGGCCGTTGATCAGGTCGGCATTTGGGCGGCGGACACGTCGGCACGCATTTGCAGACACCGTCATCCGTCAGAACGCTGTCCTCTGGACAGGTGAACTCGGCTCGGTGATGATCTGCGGAATCGACGGGACTTTGGACACCCTGAGCGTGCGTCATCGTCGTGGAATACAGACTATACGCGCGTGTTGTATTATTTTCCCGCCCGAGAGACACCGTTTCTCATCGTACACTGGTCAAACTGTTCCATTTAATAACGCGAGACAGGAAGCCGGCGAGAGAGAGAGAGAGAGAGAGAGAGAGAGAGAGAGAGAGAGAGAGAGAGAGAGAGAGAGAGAGAGAGAGAGAGAGAGAGAGAGAGATGCGACGTTTAGCGTTTACCAAACTTCATTCATTGCTAGGTCTCACTCGGAGTTAACATGGCGAGCGAGCGACATGTTCTTATACACAAAGAGCGCGACGCTCCGCCAGGGCCGATTGACACACCGACGAGGTATATACTAGGTTAAAGACCATCTGGGCAAATTTCGTGATCACAAAAAGGTAATTGCAGATAGATGATATTATTATCGACTGGTCTCAGTCGTCCGAGAGTCACCCGGATGTTTGGGCCGCAATGGGTACCAACTATGCAATTTGCAATTACCTCGGCGAGTTTGATCGCGATATCCACGCAGACTCACGACGAAATTATCGTTACTCAGGACTTGAGTTTTTGTTGAAGTTACTTGGCGAGTGTGAGGCGAAATTATCATTATTGTTACGACAATTCGCGACCACCCCGATGTTTCATCGATATGCGTACGGACTTGGAATTGGAGGCTATTGTTACTTCGAACTTGGGCTACTTGGCACCGAGTCTTTATCGGGATTATCACGTGAGTGACGAGTGAGAAGAAGGGGAGTTATATCATTACCACAACCGGACATTTATGCGAGGCCGCAATTTTGCAGTCACGATGATTCGGCACGGATCTGCCGCCGATAGGGCGGGTTACCGGACAGCGCGATTTTCCGCGCATACTGAAAATGTACCGACGATCTTGACTCGTAACCTCGTCGGTGACTCGGCGCGACGTTATCGTCGACTCGCTCGCGTCGCTTTATCGGCACGCATGACGGACGGCGAAATTCCGAAACGCGCGTGCGATAATATTCCAGCGGCGTATCATTTCCACGATCCAACGCGGCAGTTTCGAGTTTCCGCGAGCGCGCGGCCGCGCATTTCGCACGGCCGTTCGTTACACTCGGCAAACACTATTTTCCGCGAGCGAGAACACGACCCGTTTATACGGGGACTGCATTACCTGAGGGGACGCATCTGTAGCGCGGACAGCAGTCGCCGGGGGTGCCGGAAAATGCCCCTTTCGCCGCCACCGGCCGTTGACCCGGTTGGCACTTGTCGCCGTCGCCTGGACAATCCGCGCATTTGCAACCGCCGCTCTCGTTCGGCAGACTGTCCTGCGGGCATTTGGCGCCGTGAGCGGCTCCTTGAAACAGAAAAATCGCCGGCGGGATTAACGTCAAGAGCAGGAAATTCCCGGAGACGGTCGGACGGCGATATGTCCGTAGGACGACGGCGCCGCCACTCAAAAACGCTCCGCGTCGAAAGATAGCGCGCGCGCGCGCGCACGCCCAACCCTCCCCCTCCCCCCCCCGCCGCTTTCGGCGCAGCACCCTCAACTTCGTTAAACGCGCTTGAAATTGCGCCAATCTTAATCCCACCCTTCTTTTCTTCTCCCTCCGCCGTCCCTCAGCGTCGACTTCACGTCGTCGGCGATAATATAGAAATTAATGATAACGACACACTTTCCTCTCTCGCAGCGCCTCTCGCGCTAACTCGCCTATTTTTCATCCCCGAAACGCGGCGCGGGCAATTTTTCGAAAATAAATTTCGCACACCGCTCCATCCGGCTCGCTCCACCCTAATGAATCTCCCGAACCCTTTGCCATTAATAACTCGACAGGCAGCGCTCCGTAATTATGTTGATACATGTGACGCGCTCGACGCTGAAAAGCGAAAAAATGTCCGGTGAGCCGGCGAGGGCATCCGGAATCACCGGGGAGAATGTGTAACAACGCCGGCGACATTAATGTAAACTTTCGAATGACGAGGGAAAAGTGAGGTGTTCTGGTCGGACGTAGCGAGAATCGATTATTCCAGCCGGCGGATTACCCCGAGGACACGGACATTGTCCTACGCGAGCACTCTGCGACAGTTGGCGGCGGGACATCGCGAGAAAAATAGCGATCCCGATGAATGCCGGAGCGGAAAGCCCAAAGGTACAAGCGACGTACGGTATCGGAAAGGCGTAAGAGGAATGGAAAACGGAGTGAAAATAAATCGCGCGCCGATGAATCCCGTGCCAACGTTGGCGCTTTTCAGCAGATTCAGGCGAATTTGGCGCGTCACACACGCTCGCAGGATGCTCCCTCTTTAAGGACCCTTTAAGGACCGAGCCAAATCCATGAAAAGAGCCTGAAGTCCCGAAAATTAAAATCCGTTATATTTCGCTGAAAACCTGTACATGCGGGGTTTTAGTGATGCTGGATACGAGTTTCATGTTAAATTCCCGAGATTCAAGATAACAGATCCAATATGGCGAATCGATCACGATAATTCCCGTATTTTCGAGAAGAATAAATTCAAACTCAAACTCCACGTTCAGGTTTTCTAAGTGCCGACTGCAAATTATTCGCAAATGGCAACCGAAAACAAGTTCGAAATATATGTAAAAATTAATATATAATATGTAAAAATTAATAATAAAATTAATAATAAGGTCGCATTATATAAAGATACATATTTCGATAAGTACCATGAACTGTAGAAAAATAGTGGAAAAATTCGATAATTGAACAGGAGAGAAAAAAGACGGAGGAATGAGAAACGAGATGATGAAAGACATTGAAGAATGAAAAATAACGAAAAAATTAGGAAAAATAGAAAGAAAATGAAAATGATGAAAAAATGAGAAAAAAAACGAAAAATTAAAAAAAGCACAAAAAAATAAAAAACAAAAAACAAAAAAAAACGAAAAAGTGGGATATTAAATCCAATTGTCAACCTCCTCGAATCCACAAAATACTTGTGGGGGATGCATCCTGGGGAGTACATTTTCAACAAATATATTCGCAAATGTCAAGGATAAGAATTTTTTGCATATATATAATCCGTCATATTCACCAATGTCAATTTCTGAATTATAATGAAACATTCATATTTGGCACCCCTGAAAGTCTCTATAAAAGAAATAGCAAGATCATACGTATATTCTTTCGAAAAACCCCGTGTTGCCACAGTATTGACTCCGCCATATTGATTTAGCCATTCTGAATTTCGAAAAACTGACGCCAAATTCGTATTCAGCAACCCAAAAAACATAAGGTCTCGCTCATTTTTTTTTCAGCCTCAAGACAGTCATATGTTTCATGACAAAGATTCACGGAAAATCGGAAAGAGACCATTTTCCGAGTGGCTATATTTCGTTTATGGTGCGGAAAATGGAAAAACTGGCTGCGTCATCGTGTTCACCGAGCTTGAAAACGTCTAGTAACACTCTTTGTCATTATTTAGAACATGCCTGGATTTCAGCATAGTAAAATGTTTCATGGCGAAGATTCGCCTTTTCCCGGTTCTTTGGGCAAATTCCTAAATGACAAAGATCTTTGTCATCGGTCCTTAAACAGTTAAACGAGTCGTCATAATTCTTCTCGAAGTGAAAACTCCAGTCGATGCAGGAGCTTCTCGAGCCGCAAAGGCGCCCAAAGTTGGAAAGTCCTGTCCTGATTGCAAATCATCGCGAGAGAACGGTTCTCGTTACGCGGGTTATCGTTATTACTTCGCGGGTGCCTATCATCATCATCATCATCATCATTGTCGTCGTTATTATTATTATTTTATATCACTAAACGTTGTAATTATTGCAACACATAATATAATATAATATAATATAATGTAGTTATCTGACAAATGAAGTGCTTGAAGTTGCAAATCGCATGTGCAAGCGACGGTGGGGCGACTGAAAAACTCAGCAACAGTTTTGAACAGCGACTGATGTTGTCCAACTAATTAACTTGAAACTAAACTTATACTCATACTCATATTCAAACCTGTACTTAATCGCGCTACGCCTAATTACAGCATGTGTCCTTTAGATAACTAATGCATTTGGCTACTGCATTTAGACGCTCGACGCGACAATCTCGCAGCAGCTGAGCGAGAAAGTGAAAAAATAGAACTGACTGAACACTTGAGACGACGTGTAACAACCTGAAGTATCAATATGTAATATGTCGTGCATGGAAATAATTTCCTACAAACAGCGCCCGCCTGTCTCCATGATCCCGGATCATTTTGAGCTACGCCATCAGCTGCGAAAGAGTCGCGTAATGACAGTCCTCTCGCGTCGTTCTCGGCAATTCTTTAATTAACGAGCGAATCGCTGTTTGTTGTCACGAGGCTTTACAAAAGGGCCGTGGTTTTACAAAAGAGAGAACAAAAAAAAGAAGAAAACGTTCAAATTTCCGTAGCTCTCCCCGCGTTATCGAGATGCGTTCCTGGTGTATTGTGTAACATACGGATTTTGTTATCGGTTCGCTTTCTAGGCGAGAGAACTCATGTGAGGAACGATAAAGAAGAACATTGCATCTGTGACTTTGTGAGCGACGTCGGCGATCTCTCAAAGCTACGGCGTGATATCGCCGTAACGGGAAACCGAATGTGGAAGAGATACATGTCGAGGCGCGGAAGAAGTTCATACTCGCCCTTTGTGTGCAGGTCCGGTAAAGTTGAGTTTGTATATCCGCGAGGGAGGAGACACTTCCTCCCTCCCGCGGCGCCGTTAGAGCGAGCGAAACGCATTCGATATTCCGAAAATTTCGGGATCGCGATTTACGCGAGGCAAAGCGGAGTCTTTGAAGGGCGACCAAAGTTGGTTGGTTCGCTCGCTCGCGCGAGCATGAAATACTCTCTCTCTCTCTCTCTCTCTCTCTCTTTCTCGTCGCGAGAGCGTATCAGAAATCTCCGTTGCTGCGTAAACGCGATTTTAAAGACGAGATACGTGCGGGCCGAGCGAGGGGGGAAGATTCGTGATTCAGAAAGATAAATAAATTACTTTTCTAATTAAAAGTTCGCCATGTTTGAGATTTTAGAAACCGAGGAAGGGAGAGTGAAAGCGGATTCTCTTTCGAAATATCATTTACGCGAGCCAATAGAGCTTAATCCTACTCGCGAAACTTTTACGTCAAACACATGCTCGCGCATCTCCCCGGCTAATTCGCACGCCGAGACTCGAGAAGATCGCACTTTCACCCTTGCGAAAGACGCGGCGCGGCTTTTTATAACTCCGCGAGCGGTCGTCCGTCTGTCCGTTCGTTCATTTGCTCGTTCGTTCACTCGTTCATGTACCGCGCCTCTTGAAATTGGCGATCACGCGGTCGTTCTCGTAGCCGCGCCGATGAGTCCGCACATTTTTCGCCGCGAGGGAGATCGATGAATCGACGACGACGCGATGCGCCACGGCCGGAGCGCGTCGTGCGTACGACGCATTCGCGCGATGTATATTTCGCGTCACGACCGCTCCGTCTATCCGCTTCGCCATCCGTTCATCTCTCGACTTTCGGCCGACATGGCAGAAACGAGGAGATACGATCTTTCCTCTCGCTCTCTCTCTCTCTCTCTCTCTCTCTCTCTCTTTCTCTCTCCTTCTCTCTCGCATCGGTGGCCGAGCACGCAACTTCTTTGTGTCCGGCTTTCGCAATTTCACGTCGGAGATTTCGGGCCCGGATAAGTCTCGTTCTCGTTACCGCCGAGAAACGCTGGAGTGAGGAGGATGGAGAGGCGAATAAAACGCGCCTTTCGGTTTTCGACCGGCTTTCGGCCGGCGTGACTGAAGGGAACGTCGGTCAAAGGTTACGCCGCGGCGGGTCCTTTAACTGGAAGGGCTATGGAGCCATGTCCCTCTCCCTTTCCTCCCCCTCCTCCCACCCCCGGGCCTCTCTTCAGCTCACGAAGCGAGACTGCTAGCCGCGAAAACCTCCGTGATATCCCTCGGCGATCGGAGGGCGATATCCGGCGGATTTTATTGCGCCCGTCCCGCAGCCCCGAGGTTTAACGCTCCGCCATTCGGTCTCTTAAAGTCACCCCGAGGAAAGGCGCCGCTCTCTCCGCGAGCGGTTGCGTTCACATTGCGCAACTGCGCGCGTCGCCCCGGGAAACTGTGCGAGCGGCTGCTACGGGCTGTTACGGGCCGCTTGTAATCGGGCGCTTTTGTCGCGAAGAATTTCCGCCGCGCGCGCGGAATGAAACGCTGAAATTGGAGCTCGAGCTGTCGCACCCTCGGAGGGTAAATCCTTACGGCGCAGTGAGACGGGCGAAAGTGTAAAAGAGCTCGTGGCCGTCGATGTTAATTGTAAGCGTCTGGCTTAAATAATCTCTCTCGTCTCTTTCGCTGCCGTTCCAACAAACACACCCCCTCGCGCACACGCG